GTTTGAGGTGAGCCCGGCGAAATCTGCGCAGGTTTGGCGGAGCTATTCCAGTTCCGCAACAGAAAGTCCGCCCGCTCTGGCTTTTACAACGTAAACAGCCAATTGCGCGCGCGTAATTCATTTCCCTGCCAACAGTTACCAGGCGAGAATAGTGCGCGCTGGCAAAGTATCAGAAAAATTTTTAAATATGAAATTTGTTATTTGTGTTATCACAACCCACTCATTTAAAAATTTTCTAATCCCAGGGCCCCACTGGAATTCTCTATGGCTTCCATAGGAGCCATATGGCTCCCGTTGAGAATGGATGACTTCAGGAACCGTTGTCCGGGTCGATACGCTGGGTTTCGACACCGTGCCTTTAACAGGATGCAGCTTCGGGACGGTTTATTTGATCGCCACTCTTAATGTCATAATTTCCAGCTGTGCAATTTTGTATTTTTAATGATGTTTTCAAACATCCGCAGTGGATATTGTAAAATGCTGTATACATGTACCCACTTGGATACACAAAGCTTCTATTAACTTGACTTGACTATCCATGTTAGTGCTTCGCTGCACACCATGTTTCACTGTTTATATCATAGAAACTTTGGTGAGAAAGTCCGTTGGTGCGGTGTGTTGACGAGCGTAGCGTGGCTGCCCTCTTCTTCAATCGATGAAGGGATGCTAATGATTGTTTGCGCCAGGGAGTCACTGAAATCCACGATCCACATCTCGCTGTATGTGTGTAAAGTGTGGTTTGAAGAGGAGAATCGGCTCACCTTTTCTTCGATGCGTGCGCGGAAATGAGTGCACGAGAACGCTGGCTGCCCATGATCAGTTTACATACACAGTCCCATTGACGGTGTGGGTTTTGGAAAGATTTGGCGTCGGTGATGAGCTGCGTGGTCCCCGTCACTTTTGCCGCATCCTCGGTGTTTGTTCGAGTGGTTTATGCGTCTGGCATGTAGTCCACAGGTCGTCGATTCCGTCTTATGTAGGTGCGGTCGATATCGCAAAACTCTACCTCACGCGCAATCGCTCTTCGTCGCGTAGTTGCGAAGCTTCGGCACGACGCAGCGACTGCTGCTCATGCCCCAGCGATCACGGTGACAGTTGCACCCACCACCGACTACATAGGTCCAGGCGAACACTTTACAACCTGCTAGATTATCCAACTTCCTACCGTAAGTAAGGCTATTTTCGGCACTTGTGTTGTCTCATTTTCCGCTGTTGCAGCGCTCAAACTTCTCTAACAATGAATCTTTGTCACACGTGTTGGCTAATGTCAAATGACATGATGTGAAGAAGCGAGTGCACACGTCAGCTGGACATATTTGGCGTCTATCTTCTGACCACAAAACGCCTGATTTTTCATTACCGAGACGTTCCCGAATTAATCTGGGTTATGTGTCAGCTAAAATTAAGGAAACTGACAGTCTGGAACGATTTAAGTCACAAGTCGGCAAAATGGTTTAAATCTCAGAAGACATGATTCTTCCATCGGTGTTGATGAAATCTGCTCGCCTGATGTTAGAAATTGGCGCATTCTTTACTACGGCATTGCAAATCCGCATTAACATTGTTTCTGTTATGGGAACCCAGAATCCCCACAATGATTACAAGCTTGAATCACGGAAGGCAGTGAAACGCGGTTCAGACAATTGCACATGTTTCGATCATCCTTCCAACTCGTGAGACATTCACGTTTTGATTGACCTTTGTACCTCAGGAAACATTCCTGTTTCGATCCAACCTCCGCAATCATAAAACATCTAGCCTCTTTTGTCTAAGAAGTATTCACTTTTCCAGTTCAGCCTCCGCATCTAGCCACATTCACTTTTCAACATGTTCCTTTGGCATATTTGCACAGTGCCAATTCTGTTGCTTACTCAAACCATTGGCATCATCGATTTATAAAAGAAACGCTGGGCGGCGCTGTAATCGCCTTCAGCCTGGCCGGTAAAAGTGTCTACGCGAAAGGCCTGTCTTTTTGTCTTGTTCTCTCGGGTTTGGGTAGCTGCGTGTGAAATTGTGTTCGGTCTAGGAGCCCGTTCAACTCGCGCGTAGTAGCCGTGTTGCGCCAAAGTCTCACGGGTCGTACAACTTCGAATTTTGTTGGTTACTTTGTCATGCGTGAATATAGTTCCAAGTCACATTTTTTCGGCCGACTAGGAGTGTTGATACCAGATCATCAGTACGTGGCGTAAATAGGAGGCAATTTTCCTCTCAGTTGACTGTAACCAGATCCACATTATTTGCAAATCAGAGATTGCTAGCTTCTTGGATTCTTATTCCAGAACTTGATGTCTCTCTGATGTTTCAGTTTTAACATCGATGTGTAATTTGTGAGATTTTCACGCCTCACACATAATCTCCCAGCACCGTGTTGCTCCTTGATCGACCAAGCTTAAGTACTGATCACGTGGACCAGTTGATTTTACAGCTGCCTCTATTGTGTGGATATTTTACACGTACGGGTCTTAAAGTGCTGTTTATCAATTGTAGTGTATGTCTACATCCGGCACGATTAAGCCATTTTTTGAATATACTATCTCTACACCGCACTATGATACGTGATTAATGGTCATGTAACGGTTTTTCGCTTCGAGTCCCTGTGCCTCATGGTTGTGTTTATTACTGCGGATGGGATAAGCACTGAGGATTGTTGACCGGATGGCACATCTGTGCATTGTACTTTGGTTCGATTTTCTAACATAGTTCTTGATTGTATTCTGCGTGCTTTAACTCAGCGGTCACTGGGTCACGTACCGCGTGTAGTTTCACCTTCCTTCCCAGGCGACAGCTGAGTGTCTTCATGTTGTCCTGTGTGCCAAACTCACTTTTACTTTCCTCAGACACGGGAGCGTGTTGGAATGATGTTTTTTCACACTCATTGCTGATGACGTTTCGTCTTATCCGCTGCTGTTCACGCAATGCGACAGATTAACTGGTTTTATGCCTATCTGACCATTAAGCTACCATACGTCTCGAGCAATTCTTGTGGCACTGGTTAGGACCTCATCTTTGCTAAGCAAAGGATTCATATTCGGACTGTCCTTTTATTGTAGTGAAATAACCTATCATCTGCTTCGCATTTGTCGAGACCTTACAAACGAATAAGATTCCTTGCAGCATCGCAGTATGCTAGTTGACATATCTGGAATGTCCATCTTATGGCTGATGTCGGCGGGTATTTTCGAAGCAAATTTTCTGCTGGAATTAACGCTTTTGAGCAAAGTTGTCTTTGAAATGTCACCACATCGGGACAGGTATTTTAGTTACCTGTCACTCAACTTGAACTACTGACACAATAGGCCTGAAATAATCACGTGATGAACTTCAGAATCAAATAGTATGAGAACTAAGATGATCGCAGTTGTACGTCGTGAAACGATAGTCGCCTGACTTGCGTATTTCATTTACATGGAGTGCTCACAATAAATCGACTCAATGTGACTCTAAGGTACTTCACTGCAGTTCATTCAGCCATCATCGATGTGAACCTAGGGAGAATCTGAAAAGTTTCTGGTTACCAGCTAATCTATAAAGTGAAAACAGAATTTCATTGCGTTCAGTGTCAAACGACGATATTTCGACTATTGCACTAGTTCATCCGCACATTGTCATAGGTAGGTTGAGGTTAAACGATTCACACCGGTGTGCGCATTTAGCGAAATACCAAATGTGTGCACATCTCTTAACAGCGACTAAGGGGTAACACAGCCGAAAGCGGACACGCAGTGGCAACACGGAATACAAGCCACTGCGTCCTGTGTGTCCCTTGGACTGCTGCATGGAAAAGGGTGTGGATCTTCGAAATGGAATTGGGCCAGCATCTTTCCGAGAATAGCTTCCATGCCGACCTTCAGAACCACCGAACTGCGTGGAGTAGGCCAACAGTTACCCATCTCTTCTGTACTCGCGTTATGCTGACAATCCTGCAAAAATCCGCGGTTTTACATAATTTTGGCATATTGTGTGCAACTCGGCCAGAGGCTGGATTAAGGAATCTGCACATGATAGCTCCGCTTGCCTTCTCTAAATGTTCATGGGTGCGTCTCCTGTGCGGTTATTCTGTAGTCCTCTGAAAATCTTCATTCCCGAAAACATGAAAGCGTTGCCTGCGGAAGTTCAGAACCTTTGTCTACAGTATGCATACATTTAAGAACATGAACTTCCATGTATACTTGTGATGATGCTGTCATATTGTGCATACTCTTCGACCACGTACATACAACTGACAGAGGATTCGAAACAAGGTCACTTGAAATTAACCGGTAGTTAACTATTTTTCCGGCTGATGCGTTACACGCAGTTGTAGGATTAGTGCTGTTGTCAGTTGTTTTTTTGCACACTGTGCTGGGTGCTTTCGATCGATAACAATGGCCTCGTGCAGCTTGAGACATTTGACTGCACATCTTGACTCTAACCGAGGCCTCTGGGTTTATCTGGTAACTGTTGCTCGTCAGTTGCCTCGTAATTGCTGAAACAACCATGTCCCTGGATTATTTCTTAACCATCTGGCATGCTGCAATTATCTGAGCATCGTTATGTGAAGGCAAACAATTGTAGATGCACTTTCTTGAATCATATCATCAGTATCTTAACAACTGTGCAGCACTTGGTATCCCAAACCGCGGGTACTTCCTTCACCAGCTCTCCTCATGGACTCAGATGCACCAGCGCGCACCTGCCAAGCCATGCTCGCGTGAGACATTAATGTCATCTGCAGGTGAGCATGTTTCAACTGGTCCAATTGCTGGGCTCCATTCCCACCTCCCGAACGCATTTCTTTATCCTTTCATTCCGTGAGTGTTCCCCGCTTACTATGGGGCACTTGGGACCTTACTATCACTGTGATTTCAACAATTATCGCGTTACGTCACTAATTTCCAACTTGGGTGCGCTCTACTCGCTTTATTTGCATCGAATTCATCGTTATCGCGCGATTGCTGGCTTGACAGTACGCTTTTCCATTAGTATGCACTACATTTAATTGTGATTTGCTTCATCCATAGCTCCAAACAACGCGTTCCCGCTTGGACAGACCGTATTCTCTACATGGCGCATCGCGACTTCGCCACGGACTATTACGCGAGCGTGTACGGTGACGCGTCTACCGCGCGCACCTCCCGGCGAGTTCCAATTCGTGGCGCTCCATCCGAAGCTGATCGGATTCCACCGATCAGCCGGCGTGCTTCCCTCGGGCCGTACCAACCAGAAATACAGCTTTTGCAATACACCAGTCTTTCCGAGTACAAGTCTTCCGATCACAGACCTGTCGTGGGCACTTTCACCTTCGCTGTTCCCAGTCGGTGGTTCAGCCTGCCCATCAGCTTTGTGGAACCCCAGGTGAAAGGTGAGAATGGAGTAGAGAGGGGGATTTGAGTATTTTTAAATCTATTATTCCTGTCTTGTTTCAACATTTCTGTATCCCTTCTTCCTCGGTCCCTCTCTCTGTGCTTCATTAACAATTCTGTTTCGGCACTGCTATTTCCCATTGCTGCACTCCTCGACACGTTTTGCCCTTGTTTACACTAACCAGGTAGAGTTAGTCTGATCTGGAAGTGAGACTCGACAGATCGTGGTTGATGGCTATCGCCATGATTAATGAGTCATTGAGCTCCGTGAGCACTGCTTGACACAGCTGGCTTGCTGTGCTGGACTCATTCGGCTCTCTCCGGTTGATCAACTTCCACCGGTTCACACTTCCTAAATGCCTTGATTCACATAATCAGTATGATATACGCAAACAATTGTTTTCAATTACTTCACTGTTTGGTTTCATTCGTTAATAAAAAGGATAAAGAAACAACTGATTCAGCTTTTGTTCTGTTGTCCGAGCTGAACGGTTTCATTGCAAGCGTTTCATCACATGAGTCAAAAAGAGGCGGCGTATAGCGTCCTCCGGTCGGTTATTTTTGGCTGTGTTGACAAGATCACTTTGTGTTAACTTTCTGCGTTTATTGGAAGTATTTCGTGGAAATTGAGCTAAAATTCAGTTTCATTTCCGATTCTGAATTTTCCGACCAGAAATACTTGTGTTTTCATCACTTGGTTTCGGCGATCTTGCTATCGCCATTTTCTTCGTCAATTGGCCGCCATCTTGTTTTCGGATTATTCACAATGCCGAAGCAGTCATCCTGTGGTACTTGCTCCAAACTAGTCGGATACCGTGCAAATGCCCTCACGTGTGTTTTGTGCCAAGTTGGATTATCAGTTGAGCATTTTCATCGTCTTCGCGAGATCCAACACGATTTCATCCAAACTGTATGTGAAAATTGTCGAAATAAGATACAGCCAGAAAGAGTAAAGCCGACGTGTAGGCCTCAGCGTTTCGTTGCGAACAGCTCCTTGTGTTTGGCCCAACAACCTAGCGCGAAGAGCCTTCAGGTTTCGACTCAGTCGTCCTCCTCTACCCGTGCAAACTCACCGACACCAAGTCCAACCGTTGTGAGAAGCCCAGTTGCACGTGGCCTAAATTGTTTACCTTTGTTGTGTCCAACGGACACTGATGTCCCAGCAGGTGAAAGCCTGAGTGCTGAAGACCAGTGGAAAGAACAGAGGACGAAATTACGAAGGAACGTTGGGTGTTTACGTTCTGTAAGTCAACAGTTAGCCAAACCACGTGGGGCTGGTAGTATACTTCGCCCTGCAAGGCCAACCTCGTCCGACCAGAGGCGTTACAATCTCGTGATCTTTCACGCACCGAAGTCCAGTGATCCATCACCTCAAGTGCGTTACGATCACGATGTCGAGTTTCTACAGGGTTTAATTGATCGACTCCTCGACGCTGGTGAGGACTCGGTAAAAGTGAGACAGATTACCCGTCTTGGGAAGCAAGGTGATCAACACAATCGGCCTATGAGAATCACTTTTGTGGACGAAGCCAGTCCAAGACTGATCATGTCTCGTCTAAGTAGCCTGAAAGGTTTGAAGATCCATGTTCGTCCCGACCTGGACCCAGTAGACAGAGAGCGGCTCAAGTCTGCCATCATTGAGTTGAAAAGACGCACTGGTGAGGGAGAAACAAATCTTCGTATCGTAAATTTTCGGGTGGTTTCCAACAATCCGCGAATCAGGATAAACCGGCTGCTCACACTTCAAGCACGCCCGGTGGCTCCTGCTGCGACCTGCGAGTAGCCTTCACAAACGTTTGCAGTATTATGAATAAGCGCGATGAGCTTTGTTATTTCGTTGAGTCTGAGCGGCCAGACGTAGTGGGACTCGCAGAGACATGGCTGCATGCAGAGTTATACACCCAAGAACTTGAACTCAACGGTTACTCGTGTTTCCGATGCGATAGACTAAAGAATGTCCACGGTGGTGTCTTACTTTACATCCGGTCCTCCCTGCGTGGGAGACTTGTCAGCACCTACCGAAGTGACGATGGCCTGTGTGAGCTACTGTGGTGCTCCATCCGTCTCAGGCGCGGAGAACTGCTTGTAGGCGCAGTTTATCGCAGTCCCCTGAGTCGTTTGGATTGGCTGCCCCATCTTCAAGCCCACATGAGTCGTCCACACTTTCTGCTTATGGGCGATTTTAACTGTGCTCGAATACGATGGCCTGATGTGCATTTGATGCCTGGACATAGTGAGGTTGAAGCAAATTTCGTGGATTTGGTACTTGAAACTGGTGCATCGCAACACATATGCCAGCCAACACGCATATCAACACGTTCAACCTCGTCCTGTCTCGACCTGATGTTAACGAGCTACGAACAACGAGTGCGTGACGTTAGGATCCTGGAGCCCCTGGCTACGAGCGACCACTCAGTACTGATAGCTGATATGGAATTATCTTTGCCGTATTCACATCCGCTGCAACCAGCTCCCAACTACTGGAAAACGGACTTCGATGATCTAGCTCGAGCCGCGAGCCAACTGGATTGGTCTCTGTCACAAGCCGCATCTGTGGAAGATTGTTGGATATTTATAAAAGAGAGATTGACATCATTGTGTTCCCAATTTGTGCCATTGAAATGTCGAAAGGTTGGATCCATTAAGCCTCATTGGTTTGATAAGGAGTATGGAAACCTGGCTCGAAGGCGTCGCAGACTGTGGGACAAATTCCTTCTCTCTGGCTCTGCCAATGATTACGAAGGGTATAAATGTCAGCGGAACCTCTGCAACAGTGCGAAAAAGAATAAACGCCGATACTTTGAAGTGCAGCTCGCATTAGCCGCGAAGACCGCCCCAAAGAGAATCTTTGCATAAGTGAAGCGACGCCTGAAACCGGCAGGTGATGTGCCAGTGCTGGATGGCACGGATGGACAGCCCCTAACTTCCAGCACTGAGCGTGCGTCCGCGTTGGCGGCGCACTTCGCTTCTGTATTTGCGAATAACCAGGTGTCTGTTCCGAGTTCGACGTGTACCGCTTTTACCGAACTCGATAGTCTGCATTGCGGCGTTGAAGAGGTAGCTCAACTACTCGCCAACCTTGACGGCACCAAACCTCCCGGACCTGATGGGCTTCACCCACTGGTTCTCAAGTCACTTTCAACCATCCTCTCTCCTGTCGTGACTGACCTTTTCAACAGGTCGCTGTCCGAAGGTTCGTTGCCGGTTGACTGGAAATGTGCGGTGGTGAAGCCTATTCCGAAAGGCGGCGACCTTAGCAAAGTAGACAATTACAGGCCAATTTGTCTGACACCTATTTTGGCAAAGGTTGCTGAAAAAATCGTGAAGAAGTGATTGCTGCAGTTGCTACAGTCAAACGAGGTCCTGACGCCCGCACAGCACGGTTTTATGCAAGGTCGCTCATGCATTACGAACCTGCTTGTGACGAGGCATGAGTGGTTGAAGGCAGTAAACAAGGGGAAGTCCGTCGACGTGATATTCATCGATTTCAGTAAAGCGTTCGACAAGGTCAGCCATGAGGTTCTCCTTCACAAACTCAGCATGTGTGGTGTCGGTGGCTCTCTGCACCGGTGGATCCGTGACTTTCTTGTTGGACGAAAGTGGAGAGTACAGGTCGACGACCATCTAACTGACTGGTACCACTCTACAAGTGGGGTGCCTCAAGGCACTGTGCTGGGGCCCACTCTGTTCCTGATCCACATCAATGATCTACCGCAGCTTCTCCGGTCGCCGTGTGCCTTGTTTGCGGACGACATGAAGATTTGGAGAGAAATCGACGCTCCCGATGACTGTGGCCTACTTCAGCAAGATCTCAACCGCTTATCCACATGGTCTGCAGATGTTCTTCTCCCGGTCAACTCAGCCAAGTCCGTATTTATGAGCCTGTGGAAGGGTGCTAACGGCCGAACCTACACTCTTGACGGCCAAACGCTATATCCCACACCCTCCGTGAAGGACCTAGGTGTACTCTCACGCTACGATTTGAAGTCCGGGGACAACACGAACAGGTTATATCGGAACGGACTGCGCATGCTTTGGGCGCTCAAACGTAGCTTCGGAACATGGTCTGAAGAGGTTGCCACTCGCCTGTTCTCTTCTATCATTAGACCAATGCTAGAGTACGGTTCGCCCGCCTACTTTCCGATTACCCGAGGCGAGGCACAAAAGATCGAACGGGTCCAACACGTTGCTACCAGGCTCATCCCGAGTTTACGTGTCTTTGGGTATGAAGACCGGTGCGAGAAACTAGGGCTCTACACTTTATCCTACCGTCGGGTGCGAGTCGACCTCATTATGACCTACCGAATTCTACATCTTGGTGAGTTCCCCATGCTAAGGCCAATACTGCACTTACGAGGACCATGCAGCACACGCGGACACAGATACAAACTTGTCGTGCCGGATATGAAATGTGTTCCCCACCCACTGTGCTTCGAACGAAGAGTGGTAAACATTTGGAACAGTTTGCCCGAACATGTGATTGAGGCAACATCTGTGCAACAGTTCAAAACGTTGTTAGATTTGTATTTTGCCTCTATTCGCTTTAGAGAACGACTGCACACTTACGATGACATATCACATTTGTGAATCCTGAAATATCGTAAGTCGAGTATTTTAAATATTACATGAGAACGATAATGATATTCACGGTTGACAATTTTATAATGTTTTTCGCCATATTTCGAAAGAGTTGTACAGAATCCATTTCTACTTGCTCTATAATACAGTATTCAGTATTCAGAACTGCAAACTAGCAATGGTCACGGGACGTGAATCGAAGTGGCCAAGTTCAAATGTCACTCGCTCGTCGGTAAGAGTCGACAAACCACTCAGTTTGCTTATTACGCACTGAAGAAGTCACCACAATTGGTGATGAAACATTTGCAACGAAACTGTTCAGCTCGGAGAACAGAACCAAATCTGAACAGACGGCCCGAGCTACAGGTATTCAGATTTATTGCTAAACAATTGGTTGCTAATTTAAAATGATCAAAGCGCC